ACATGGAGAGTATGTGAGTTCAAACATCCCCTCCTTGAAATGAGAAAAATCATTTCTGTGCAATTCTGTCACTAATGAAGTCATTCAAGCAGTTTTGTCAACTTTGTGATCTTGATTAAAAGTAAAGAGATGTTGAACATGCTTTTTCATGTCTACTTGACATTCCATCTCATATTAGGTGTCAAATCTGAAATAAAATTTCAAATAATTTTCAAATTGTTAGACAATAGTTTCACATGATGACCAGAATTACTAAGAAGCAAAAAATACTACAAAATATTATTTTTCGAGAGCATTTGCAGAACATCAGAAAAAAAAACAAATATATTTAAGAACTTAATAAGAAAAGAGGAGGTAATGCTTGACAGACTCACCATTGGACATACCTCTTTTATTTGTTCAAATATATGCCAAAAGATGAGGAACCCCCAATATGTATGACATGTCTGGAAAGATAGCAAAGTATATACTGATAGAATTTGTTGCCGCCAAACTTGTTCATGAAACCAAGTAGCATTTGACAATTCTTAACAGTTTGGACTTTTAAAAAAAATGAAATTAGTTTTGAAATCTTATATATATAAAGAGTGAGAAAGAGAGAATTTAAACTCTATATATTTATCAAACATTTAAAACAAAATATTGGAAATTTTTATCTATACAAAAAAACTCTTTAAATTGTTAAAAAAAAAAACAATCTTAATGTTAAAATTAAAAAAAAAAAGCACTTAAAATCCTCTTCAACACAAAAAAAAATAATTTAAGTAATTCACTAATCAATTTACTGTTAGATAACTTCTGAAATAAGTAGCAAAGTAAATTTTCTAAGTAACATTGTTAATCAAAATAATTTCTGCTCCAAAAGTTTCTTTTCTCGCAATTCCCAACTGTGGAATTCCCTTGCTTTCTTGATAACACTAATCTTTAAAAATTTAAATGCAATATAAATCAGCATCTTCTTGAATCCCATTCATCTTTTGTCCTTTCCCCAATCTTCCCTATTCTAAGTCTTCACTTTCCCTTTCATTCCCTGTAACCCCCTATGTACTAGTGGAACTCCCACAGTGCTTGGGATTAAATGATTTTTTTTTAAAAAAGTGCTGTATAATTATACCCAAGTATATAATTGGTGTCTATGGAATGAAATGAATGAATATTTTTGTAGTGATTTTATAACATATTTATGTTATAATTTTTAAAAATAAATAATTATATATATATATATATATATATATATATATATATATATATATATATATATATATATATATATATAATATATGTAGGAGAATTTGGGGCCCATATCATAGATTCAGGGGATATCACAAGACCCTTACACTGTCCTTGCACATGAATCTGAGAAGATGAGTATAATGTTAAAAATTGCTGTAAAATATTTAAGATGGTATGATCTTTCTTTTTTTTAATTCATAAAATTTCTGTGTTAAAAATTATTTAACTTTGTAGCAAGAAAAATCTCAATTTGATATTAAAAATTACCGCAAAACATTTAAGATGGAATGATCTATTATGACATGTCTCTAATTTGTATTTAGATACATTGTATTTATTTTCAATTTTTCTAGTTGAATTGTTCACCTATATTGCATATGATCCATTATTGTACATCATTAGGTGACAATAAAATTCGTATTTTATATGAATACTACCTTAGGAAAATTGAGATGTAGTAAAGTGCCCCTCCACCCCTATATCATAGATTCAGGGTGGAGGGATTAAAAGTCCAAGTAATATTTTGGTACCAATGCTTCAAAATTGTCCAGGAATATATATATATATATATATATATATATATATATATATATATATATATATATATATATATATATATATATATATACACAAATGTAAAAAGAACAAAGAGTAAGATTTCATTGTTTAAAACATTAATTTAAAACAGGATTCAATACAAAAGTAGACCAATTAATATTTATGTATATATATATAAAAAATTTATGTATATATATAAATAAATTAAGCAAAACCTTAAAAATCCATATCAGTTTTAACTCATTTCATGAATATTTTTATGTTCATTTCTTCAGGCAGAAAGTTTTTTAGAAATGGAATCAATCCATCCAGCCATGAAGTAAATTATAACCAATATGGATTTGTAAGGTTTTTCTTGATTTATTATTATATTGCTCTGTAATTTACATTGAGCTCTCTTTCGATTAATATCCTCCTTGGAATTATCCCTACCAATTACCAATTGGTACTATTTATGTTGTATCCTTAAAGAAGGTTACAAACAGACAAAGGTGGTACTCAAGTGAAGGAACAGCAACATATGCATAGATGAAAGAAAGAGAGGTTTATTGTAAAAGAGAATACACTACTGAAAGACAGGGAATTGGGTAACAGGCTAGTAATTCCTGAAGCAAAGTCCCCAGATATATTCTGTACTCCCTATATATGGCTAATGATATAGTCGGTTCACATAGATGATAGGGAGTGTGGGATATTCCATTACAACTATATATATATATATATATATATATATATAGAGAGAGAGAGAGAATTTAAACTTTACATATTTATGAAACATTTAAAACAAAAAATCTTTTAACTTCTTAAAATAAAATTTTGAAATTTTAAATTCTTTAAATCAAAAAAATAAAACAAAATCTTAATGTTAAATGTCTACATGACACACAATGGATTGATAGACCATAAAGCAAATCAATCAATTATATTTGGGAAGTAGTTCATGATGGGGTCATTCACAAACCCAACCCCAAATTCAACATTTTTATTTGTTATTTATCTCTTTTTTTCTTTTCTTTATTCTTTTAGTAAATTTTTACTAATTGAATTTCACCATAACCAAAATATCCTGCAATTACTACTTGCTTGTAAAATCCTACTATAGAGAAGTTTTGTCTAGCAGAAGAATTATTGAAGACACTTTGCTTATTTCCTGCATTGCCATGAACAGGATTATGAATAAAATATCTTTCTGTGCATTTTACTGGCAAGTAAAGATTTGAAACTTTCTTGAGTTTAGCAGAAACCAGAAGATTCTTCATATTGGTGCTGCCAATTGTTAAATCTTTGAATTGTTTTTGGCAATGTCTTCAGTTGTCTCATTATGAAGTAAACACATGCAGAAGACTCTCTCTTTTGACACTCAAAGAGACGCCACTTTCAAAGAAATCTGCAACTGGATAGGAAACATTTTTCTGTCGTGACTAATGACAGCCAAAGTATATAGATATTTTTTATTGGTAGATATGTTGCAAATACAAAAGTGAATAATTATTTTTGTCTCTTTTTAAAATTAAAAATAATGGTTGATCTTTTTGTGTCTTATGTTATAAATACAAATATAGAAATAAAAAACAACAATCTCAATAACTCATAGAATTCTTATAAAATAAATTATACAAAAATAGCAGTTGTTAAACATATAATAGCTCTATTCTGCCAGTAATGCTTGCCTTCATTCCTGACCATTGACAATCCCTTTCTTCCTCATTTACAATGCATTTCTATAGTGAAACACTGTTACAAAATAATAATTCTACATATGATAGCCCTATTCTGCCAGTAATGCTTGCCATCATTCCTGACTACTGACAATCCCTTTTTTCCTCATTTACAATGCATTTCTATAGTGAAACACTACTACAAAATAATAATTCTACATATAGTAGCCCTATTCTGCCAGTAATGCTTGCCTTTATTCCTGACCAGTGACAATCCCTTTCTTCCTCTTTTGCTATGCATTTCTAAAGTGAAATACTGTTACAAAATAATAATTCTAGATATAATAGCCCTATTCTGCCAGTAATGCTTGCCTTCGTTCCTGACCACTGACAATCCCTTTCTTCCTCATTTACAATGCATTTCTATAGTGAAATACTGCTACAGAATAATAATTCTAATAAATCCTTTTCTTTGGCAAGTTCATTATCTACTTGAAACAGTACTCAGTTATTTTGTGCTAAGAAAAGCCTGACTTTTATATTTTGTCAATATCTATGTGTGAAATAGTACGAGAGACTAAGCCCTTTTTGTCTTGATTGATTCAATTCTAAATTCAAAAACCACCAGGAAAAGAACTGGCTCTGACTATCTTGCCCTAGATAAACCCACTGCTGCTATTCTACATGCAGTGACCCACATCCCCTGCATTAGGTTATGGGATGGGTGCATAAATGTTGTTCTTCCAAAATCTTGGAAGTAAAATAGAATTTTTTAATTATTTTTATTTATTTATTTATTTTTATTTTTTTTACAGAATTGGCAGAACAATAAACTTTGTCTGGAATTATTTTCACGTGGCAAACCGAAGACTCTGCGATCTGATGAAATACCTGGAAAAATCCCTTTGAATATTTATTCAGTCTCTGTAGAAAAAAATAAAAAATAAACAAAAAAGTAGAGTATTTTGGGATTCGACCATTTCTCGATATTTAAAGGTTTTTTTTTATATATTTTTTACTTTGATATTTTTACATCGATTTTTAATAATCAATATACATTGATCAAACTTGTCAACGGAAATAACTGTTTCATTTGAAAATGTTTGCTCTGAATTTATTTTTAATAGATTTAAATTATATTTTATCAATGACTAATGATTTCAAAATCAACTAAACTTGAACCAAATTTAAAAATTAATTTTTATTTTTTAATTTAATTTTTATTTCAATTTAAAAAAAACACACACACACACAGGAAAAATAACATTGCTTCTGAAGACTCGGAAAGAAAGAAAACTGATTCTATAATCTTTTAAATTTTCACGATTCATATAAAATTAGATTGAACCCGTGGCCAATTAATTTTCATTGTATATTTTTTACTCACAATGATTTCTAAAGAAACCAGTTAACAAAACCAAACTAACCTTTTCCTAATTAGTTCTTCCTCGCAATCATGTCCTGAAAGTAAATCCAAACCAAAATATCATATCCAGGTAAACCCTTTTTGGTTTATTTTCTCACCTGTGATTTGCATCAGCCTAATCAAAGATGACTGATTTAGTGTACCAGGCCGAACAGGTACAACAGCTTCTTCGATGTGCCATCTGTTTGGACAGATTCCGTCATCCGAAACTTTTACCATGCCAACACACTTTCTGTGAATCGCCTTGTCTCGAAGGCCTTATTGACCATTATACTCGTCGTGTGAGATGTCCTGAATGTCGTCTTGAACATCGGGTACCTTTAAATGGTACGGCCGGATTTCCAAATAACCTTACCATCATCAGCTTTTTGGATCTCCCCCACCAGTCAGCCTCATCAAATACTTCATTAAGTGCACAAGGTGGCCATTCCAGCCAGGGGGTTACAGAGATCAGCCACCCTGAGGTACATCCTCATGATAATTCAGCTTTAGCCCAACTCGAATATCACACCCCTAATGGTGAGGCAATGTGCTCCGATTGTGGACGCATTGCTATTCTCGCCCTGTGCATCCATTGTAATGAACAGATCTGCGAAGTCTGTCGACATTCACATATTTCAAGCCTGAAACTGGAGATTTCGCGCCAGTTGCAACGTATACGTCGTGCCCTTCCAAATATGTCGGAAACTCTGTCATCTGTTGAGCACCGTCGTGACCAGCTGCGCCGTATGTGCGATTCGGTTAAGTGTGTCATTTCGGACACCATAGAGCGTTATATTCGAGACTTGAAAGTTCGACAGGACCATCTGTATTCTGAGATTGATGAATTTCTTTTCTCGGAGATTCGCTGTCTTCAGGAATATCAAGAGAATTTAGAATTGGAACTAACAAGCATCGCCAGCTTCTGTGATAACACGGAACCACTTTTGGCTCAAAGACCCGATATAGAATCCAGCAATATTGACTTACAGGACATTAAAAGACAAGGCCAACAACATATTGTGACCCTGCAAAACCAAGTGTCCCTTGAGCTCCCCACTGCACGACAACTTACATTTCAAGATGAGAGCAGCCGCCTTAGCCCTGCTATTGCACATTTCGGAGAACTTATGGTTATGATACAAAATAATTCTTCATCTTTTCTTCGTAATTCTGTTTTAGGTTATTCTGACTCTGCTCATCGAACCCATTTACGGGATTATAACAGCAACCGAGAAACCACTCGGAGCTCCACTGCCTCTTCAATTCCAAGAAGCCATTCTTCAGGAGCCGATTCTTCGAGTTCATACAGGCGGACAGACAGCAACCATTCCACACGAGGGTCGGGTTCAAGTACGTCTGCTACTCCTACCCATCCTCGAAGAACAGAAGCACCAGTGTCCACTCCTAGTTCTACCTCCTCAGGTGTACGCTTTGCTCCTTCTAGCTCCTCTCTAGTAACATCATCGCCTCCTCTTTCTCGCTATTCAGCCACCAACACTTCTGCTGGGTTATTGGCCCCTTCTCGTCGCGAGCGAGAACTTGGGGGTTTGCCGTCTAGCTATTTAGACAGGGATAACACAGATGATCCATTGAGGCACACAGCAGGGCCTGGAGCAGCATCTCTGCCTAGCCCTTCTTCAGAAAATAATACCTTTGCTCGTAGGGATGAACCGACTGGAGCTAGCAGCGGAACGAGAAATGAATACCTGGCCTCGGCAAAACCTAAAGACAAAGGTGTGCTATTCTCTCATGAAAAAAGATCATCTCCACCCAGAAGTAGGAGGCAACAACGAGAGATGGTACCCTACTCGGAGATTTCCCGTCCATCCACTTCGGCAGGAGTGCCCAGTGCTGCAGGAGCAAGTAATGACAACTCCCCTGTATACCGGCCTGTCTCTCCTACATTTTTTGAACGTAGGTCACTTCCAAACTCCCCAAGTACAATGCGACGAGACACTGAACTCCTGCCGGACAATGAAATTTTTCCTAGCGCCCTTACTTGGCATCCACGGTCAGAGAATCTGCCTCGGTTTGGTGGTCACAGTCGAGGATATGGACATTACTATACGCACAATATGACCCTCCCATCTTCGTCGAACTGGATGGATTCTTTTGGCTTACAGGACCGTTATTCCTCTGCGCGGTTCTCAGCAACAAACAACTCAACACAAACTCCAAGACGGAGACCAGAAGCCTTGACATATCTCCATCCCGGGGAGACAGACGAGAGCTCAACATCGACAGAAAATGATTTAGCCAATGAGCGAAGGCATCCTCTCACCCTTTCCAGAACCGATGGAGAGATCTATTCTTCCTCAGACGAAGAAGATTTCGTGGATGTATCTGCTGCCCCTGGCTACAGGCACTGCAAATCGGCCAGTACGATTGTCTCCCAGGCACGCAATAACTATCAGGCTAAACATCGTTCGTGGACACGTTTCGGTGAACAAGGAAGTGGCGAATCCCAGTTCATGTCACCCCGGGGTATCGCCGCCAGCCCGGAGGGTGAAATCTACGTATGTGATAGTAGCAACCACCGTATCCAGGTCTTTGACAACACTGGTATTTTTATCCAATCGTTTGGCTGCTATGGCCAAGGAAATGGCGAATTTGACTGCATCTCGGGTGTGGCTGTGAATAGCTTTGGTCATATTGCCATCACTGACCGCTACAACAATCGGATACAATTGTTTGACCGGCACGGTCGTTTTCAGATTGCATTTGGAACTACAGGTACAAATGATGGAGAAATGAATTACCCATGGGGAATTACCTGGGACAATATGGGTTTTGTCTACATGTGTGATAAGGAAAACAACAGGGTACAGGTATGTTATTGGGTTTTTAATTTTTTTGTTTTTGTTTCTTGTGTTTTTTTTTATTACCGTATATATTCAAGTATAGTATGAGAAAATATGTGGTTGTACTATATGCCAGTATTTCTTTGAAGAGGTTAAATTATGCATTTTCAGTGACCAAATGCACTATACACTTGGGCAGGTCAGTTTTAGAACCGTGATATTGCACCCAATTTCAAAGTTGGAGTTTAACATGATAAATAACGACACAAAATATTTTTGTCCAAATCATTACTGCTTTTTGAGGAAATGAATTTTTATAGATTAAGTTTAGATTCAAAATCTTTGCGTTGAAATTTCCTTCCGGTGATCAGTGAAAGCCTTTATAGCAAAGGCCTTATAATATTTATAATTTGCTGAAGCTTTACAAATTGTATCTGGACAAGATGCATGGCACAAGGACATTATTACTAAATGATTTTGCCATCAAATAAGACCTTCATTTACTTCAAAGGGAAATTACAGTGAACAATTTAGCTATATTAGGATGTAATTTGTTATACAGTGTAAATTTAAAACATTCTGTCTTATAATTTGTGACCCGTGTTATTATGGTGTTATATACACATATCTACTTTTTTATTTTTATTTTTATCTAACGAATGATCTAACTAATCTTATTCATTTAAACCTTAGGTATCGCGAATCTATGGAGGTACCTAATTTGGAAGTATCTATCTATCTATCTATCTATCTATCTATCTATCTATCTATCTATCTATCTTTTTTCGGTCTGTTCCTATGTATCTATCTAATATTTTTGTTGTTTCAATTATCACTGTCTTACTGTATCTATCTATCTATCTATCTATCTTTTTTCAGTCTGTTCCTATGTATATATCTAATATTTTTGTTGTTTCAATTATCACTGTCTTACTGTATCTATCTATCTATCTATCTATCTATCTATCTATCTATCTATATATCTATCTATCTATCTATCTATCTATCTATCTAAGTCTGTTCCTATGTATCTATCTAATATTTTTGTTGTTTCGATTATCACTGTCTTACTCTATCTATCTATCTATCTATCTATCTCTATCTATCTATCTATCTATCTATCTATCTATCTATCTATCTATCTATCTAAGTCTGTTCCTATGTATCTATCTAATATTTTGTTGTTTCAATTATCACTGTCTTACTGTCTATCTATCTATCTATCTATCTATCTATCTATCTATCTATCTATCTATCTATCTTTTTCAGTCTGTTCCTATGTATCTGATATTTTTGTTGTTTCAATTATCACTGTCTTACTGTATCTATCTATCTATCTATCTATCTACCTATCTATCTAAGTCTGTTCCTATGTATCTATCTAATATTTTTGTTGTTTCGATTATCACTGTCTTACTCTATCTATCTATCTATCTATCTATCTATCTATCTATCTATCTATCACAGTCTGTTTATATATCTATCTCATTCTCTCCATTTTATAATTGGCGCCAGTGGAAAAAAAATCAATCTAAGTCAGCCATGAAATGGCAGGTGGATTTTGGAAGCGTGATATTGCAGTCTATTTGAATGTCGAGGTTTGTCTTGATAAATAATGACACAAAATATTTTTGTCCAAATTGTTATCATTTTACGAGGAAACGAATTTAAAGATTAAATTTAGGTTCAAAATCGTAGCGTTGAAATTTCATTCCAGTGATCAGTGAAAGCCTTATAAAATTTATAAGTAACTGAAGCTTTATAAATTGTATATGGACAATAATAATAATAATAATAATAATATGATCACCTATATTAAGCAACATCGAACCTGATCAGTACCTAGGTAGGTGACTAGTTGGGAATACCAGGTGCTGTAAGTTTGGGTGTGTAGATATAGTTTCATAGATAATGACTCTGAATTGTTAATCAGTGTGTCAAGTTCCAATTCCAGTTTGTTATAATTTGTTGTTTGATTACCAAATCCTGGTTAGTTACGAATCCACCTCTTAGTAAGACTTGTATACGTAAACCATTATTATTCCCAACAAAGAAACAATTCTAACAAGGTAAAAATATTTTCTGGCTTTAAATAACTTGCAAAGGGTTGATAAACTGCAAAAATGAATGAATCAATCAATAACTCTTACAGCTTGAGAAAATCAGACACAATGAAAAAAATGTTCATATGAGATATGAGAAGAGATAAAAAAAGGTAAAAAAAAGAAATTTGTGAGAGATATTTTGATGTTATTCATTTTCGTTAAAGCAAAAAAAGTTAGACAGGTACATGAGATGTTTTTTATATTAAATAAACATGGCTTTTTACGTTTTTTTTTTTTTTTTTACTCAACTCTTGAAAAACATTTTTTAATTGGAATTCTTATTTAAAGTTTCAAGACCATTGCTAAGATATTGATTACCGACTGGCCCATGCGATGTTTGTTTCATAAACAATACGGGATAAGAGTCTAGTGGATTAAAATGTTGTTTCATGAATTTGGTGACATAGGAATTGTGAGTTCAGTCCTTCAACAGGGCATTGTGTATTTGGACTCAATAGAACCAGTGCAAACAATACCTGAGCAGTACTAAAAATAAGATCTAGACATGGGCAGTGAAAAGAGAACAGTCTACTACCTGTAGATTAAATAAATGTTTTATATATATATATATATATATATATATATATATAATAAAAAGGCTTAAACACTAATAATGGAATTTTTATTAAAAAAATATACATGTATGGGTATTTATATATTTTGCATATGTATGTATATTTACCACTAATATTATCTATATTCGCTTGAAGATGAAATGGAACTAATGATTTTAATTTAATTGCAAAATTAAATTCGGGGTTTTTAGCTTCTATTTTTGAAACATGGTTGGAACTGTGTAGCGAAAAAACCATATTTTAAATCAATTAATTTATAATATTAATGCTCTGTAAATTTACATGAGAACTATTTTGTAAAAATAAAAATATCTATAAGAACACCGGATTTTATATCTTACTGTTCTTTCTTTTTATTTATTTATATATATATATATATATATATATATATATATATATATATATACTTTTTACTGCTGCTCTTATTATGGGTGGGCAACACTGGTCTTCACCCATCCCCTAAATCTGCATGCGACAAACCTTGTAAACCGCATCAGCAGGCAGACTAAATCACGTGAAATTACCATCGAAAGGCACTTCACTCTTCTGTGCACTCGAAGTACCGGAGAAGTATAACTCCGTGTTGTTCATTGTGTTCGTGGCACATATTTGCACCAACTCCTTGTTATCAGCACTTCCAATAAGTGTGGCTGGTTCAACACAAGCCTTCACCACTCAAAAGAAATCTTTTGTGCGGATAGTCTGCAGTTCAGTTCTGTGTTCCTTCTTTGCTATTCCAAATGAGCAACAAGTCCACTGGTGAGAGAGTTAAGGCAATGGGGACAGGTACGGGATTATAAACTGAATTGAAAGACATTCATACGTAGAAAACAACCGGATAAAGAAGAAGAAGAAGAGTCCATCATACACACACACCCACACCCACACATAGAGAGGTTCACCCTTTACAAGGTAGAGGCTTACATTTGGAGACCATTTGTGTGTATAGGAATAGAAGATAACGGTTAACCCTGACCTTGAACATAACCTGTTCAAGGTCAGGTTTAACCGTTATCTTGATATATAGTGATTGGGGAAACGTCCGGTTGGGAGTTGGTGGTTCTTTCTTCCCACCGATGAAATACAGGGGGGATGTGAGTGATTTGCTACTATGCAAGTGGCATGGCGTATTTTTTATGTGAAAGTTTGCCTCTGTGGGACCAGGCAATGTAGTTTGTCCGAGAACTTTCCGTGGAAGTACTGGTAGAGCAGTGAGAGGCTTGCCACATCCTGCCTGTGCGAGAGAGGTTGAAGGGTGGAGAATAGTTCATCACCCACAAGGGCTTGGAGACGCTTTTGAACTCCATCAAAGCTGGAGAGTCAGGTGTGAGCAGCTCCCATCCAAATATGACAACAGTACTCCATTTTTGGCCTTGTAAAGGTAGAGGGTATCAGGATTGGGGCCAGGTACTTACTGGAATGGTACAGAGTTGTGTAGTAAACCTTTGTGTGACACTTTGTTGAAGGCCTTTGAGATATTGGGTGCTATGATCCTTGAGATGTTTTTGTCATCAAGAGCCTCACTGATTCTGTGAGTGGTTGTAGTTAGGACGTCAGCAGTGGATTGGGTCGACTGAAACCCATACTGCACGTCACAGAAGAGTTTGTCCTTTTCTCGGTGCTCGACAGCTTTCTTATTGATCATGGCCTCAAAGAGCTTGCTGATGATAATGTGGAGACTAATGGGTTTGTACTGAGAAGAAGATCATACGCCCACATTCTTGAAAACTGGGTTATATCCATGACACTTTCCACAGGGTTGGGAAGGATTTCTCCTTCCAACAGCGGTTGAATAATTTTGCTAGGATTGGGGATAAAAGTTGATGTTCTTAAGGAGCAGAATTTTATCTAGATCAGTGTTTGTTTAAGGATCAAGGCCTTTGATAAGCCTAGTGATCTCACGTACTGTATATTACTGAGATTATGCTCAATGAGACATGGGAACTTAGGGTGGGGATCTTTGTCATCTAACGAGCTAAAGATGAAGGTGAAGAGGTTTGATTTACCAATCGATGATGATATCATCTTGGGGCCATTTATAATTGTGGCACAGCCGTTTTACCCCTGTTCATGATTTGGTTGGTGCTCTTCCAGAATTCATGGGATCCAATTTGTTTCTTTTCAACTTTGGTCTGGACTGCTCGTGCGTAGCTGCACATGGCATTTTCAAGAAATCTTTTGTAGCAATTGCGGGTAGTTCTGAATGCAGTATGGGTCAAACTACTTCATTCCTTTGTAGTAGTAATAGGTGTTGTGACAAAAGAAATGACTTACCCCGGAAATCGAAACGAGCACGGACGTGTCTTGCATGCAAAGTGCTGAAAAGAAAATATGGCCGCCCTTGGGAGCGCAATTCATGAGTGCTTGTCTCGTCTCTACGAAACGGGATTTGCATATATGCAAATTCTGGCCTGCTTGAGGAGACATAAAAAGCAAGGGTTTTTCTTTCTTGGGCGAATTACATTTGCTAGTCTGACGAATGGATTGACAGGAGAAAAGAAGGTGAAAGAGACACGACTGATTTTGTCAACTGAAAAGTGCCCAGTGTGTTGTGGCGAAGAAACAGAGCCCCAGAATCTATTTCCTTTAGGCGAGTGAAGAAGAAGATTCAGAAGACTCAGTCTGTCAGCGAACGCAACACTTGATTTTTTTTTTTACCCCGCTTATTTATTTTTTCCTACATCCTTGTGAGAGATATTGAAGTAGTTGTTTTGGTGAGTTATGGCTGTAGTGCATTCAGGTGGGGAACAAGGGTTGACTGTTTGGTTTTTGCTGGAATTTCCTTTGCGGTATAAAACTCTCCATTCCAAAAATGATCCAATCAGTGACAAGGGAAACAGTCTTTGGGGTAGCATGCTTCAAGAAGGTTGGGAGGGGAGCTTCCATCATGTAGGATCAAAAGTGATCCCACTATGTCTTCACATAAGCTAAGAATTGTTCTATGGAACGGTACATCAGGAGATGCCTTAGGTTTGGCATCAATATGGACACTGATTAAAGAATGATCTGATGTGTCCAGTAGAGGTAAAAGTTTTGATAGGCATTTATCAAGGCAGGAAGAAGTTGAGGAGGTTCGCCTGATGTCCCGTCATGGGATGTTCTCTGATGATCTGGGTTAGTTCATAGGAAATGGAGAAGTCTCTGCAATATCTGCCTTCAACATCGTTTTTTTTTTTTTTTATGTGTGTGTGGACTAGCCCCTCTTTATGGTTGATATTGAAGTCACTGCAGACATGATATTGAGTGAGGATATTGTCAATCGTATTAGATATTCGGTCGATAATCAAAGTCCCTTTCTCCTGAGGATGGTAGAGAGCAAAGACGAATGTGATACTATTGATAAGTGCCATGTAGAAGTAAATATATGGGAGGTCAGTTTTCTCGTTTTTGCGTCCCTGCCACAGCGAAACTCATCCTTTGCCATGACGATCTAAGTGGTCATGTGTACATTGGTCGGTGGAAGACTGGTAGGCAGAGAGACACACCAGCAGGAGTCGTATGTATAGATAACTTGGAGAGAGTCATCCAGACTTACAACCATAGCAGTATTCTTCATCATGGCATTGAGAGGCTCCACCAGAAACTACTCCACGGCACAGAGACCATTCACAAAATCTCAGTCGTATTTCCTTGCAGCTTACCCGGATCGATATATCCCTGATGAAAGTCAGTCGGCGCAATGTCTGAAATGTAATAACAACAACAAAGATGAGGACAATAGTCTGAACATAAATAGTGTAAATAAGTAGAAGCCTATAATTAAAGTATTTTTTTATAATGCCACAT